GCGAGCTATGCAACAAGGAGCCCCGATTCTCGCGCAGGGTGTGCCGAAGTGAAGGGCTGGGTGGGGTTTTTTTCCCTTTGGAATAGTGTTTAAGTGTAGCTGGCGCTGCTTCCTCAGCCGTTGGATGGCTTCGTTTATTCATCCGCTGGCATTTGAGGCCGGCAGCTGAGACAAAGGGGGTCGGGGCAGCTGGTCGCGGGGGCGAAAAAGCATACTTGGCATCGGTCACAGCGGTTGTGTCTCCGCATAACCCGGGCCCCACCCAGAAGCCAGAAGGCGCCTCCTGCCACTTTCGCCCTATGCTTAAAGTGGGAGGGTGGGAGATAAGGATCTTAGATGGGAGTCCCAAAGGTGATTTTTCAAGAGGCAACTGGACTTTCTTGAAGCCGCAGAAGCTTCTTGGATGAGAAGTGAAACGTCTTCAAAGAAAAACAAAGAAAGTCCTCTTGAAAAAAGCACCCTGACCTGGATGACTGAGAATCTCCACAGATACCTTAGATGGGAGAACTGGCAACTAATGCCAAAGTAACCTAAGTTTTTTTTTTCTTTTGTTCCTTTACCAGCACTGCTTCCTCATGGGAAGGAAAAACAGCCCAGCATGGGAAAACTCACATTCTTAATTTACAGATAGTCCTTGAATTTAACAACAGTTCATTTAGTGACCCTTCAAAGTTACAGTGGCACTGAAAAAAGTGACTTAGGTCTATTTTTCACACTTAACAACCATTGCAACATCTCCATGGTTAAGGGATCAAAATTCAGATTCCTGGCAACTGGTTCATATTTATGACACTTGCAGTATCCCAGGGTCATGTGATCTGCTTTTTTGCAACCTTCTGACAAACACGGTCAATGGTGTTACCAACTCAACAATTGCAACGATTCACTGAACAGCAGCAGCAAGAAAAGTCGTAAAATGGGGCAAAACTCACTTAACAAATGTTTCGCTCAGCAACATAAATTTTGGGCTCAATTATGGTCTTAAGTCAAGGACTACCTTCTCCTGGCTGGTTGTGATGTGTAATGAAAAAACACAGGAGCCCAGCAACCCTTTAAAATCACAGAATTGGCAATCGGGCGCAGAAGAGTTTGGGAACGTGGAGTCAGGCTGTAAACTAAACCATAACTCTGTTTAGCCAGATAGAACATAATTACCTGAGATTAACTAACTATGGTTCATTCAGGTAGGGCTATGGGGTTTAGACTGCAGAAATTTGGGGAACCAATAGAGGGCAAGACAGACATACAGGAACTCTTTCCGGCTGTCTATTTGTCCTCTGGAGTTAAGATAACTGAATAAATAAAATAAAATATAAAATTTTAAGCATCGCAGTCCCCCGCCCCATACGCACACACATGCGTACACAGATTAGACAGAATCATGCAGCACGTTAGGTTAAAATAGTCAAAATACACATAGTCATTATTGTCAAGCTTCAGTATGAGATCAATGTTGTTGCTAACTGGCATCTGTTTTAAATCCCGGTGGCCCCTTTAGATAGCCTAATCTAGGTATGAAGCTCTTGGTAATAAACAATCTCTCTTAATAGGAAGAATGAACAGGCGTTGAATAAATGCATTTTAAATAAATGAAGTCATGTTAGTTGGTCTCCACCCCTTAAGTTATTTTCTGGCCATCTGAAACCTCCTCTGGGCTTGGATTCCTGTACTTTGGCCCTGAAATTAAGCCTCATTAAGGGTGTTGGTCCCAGCAGGGCAGGAAAAGCCTCTGGGAGTGCAAATAAGGATTTTATCCATATCTCCAGTGTTTCCCATAGCCCTGTGGTGCAAGCCACAATGACATCATCAGAGGTGGTATTCAGCCGGTTCATACCGATTCGGGCGAACTGGTAGCAGCACCCCACCCACGCCCACGTAATGCCGTCCTATTTAACCACATTTTCGAGGCCGGGCGCATTTGCGAAAGGCGTGCATGCGAAGAGCACGCATGCGCATGGCAAACCGGTGGTAACAATATGTGGAACCCACCGCTGGACATCATATGCTTCACTGTGCCATTTGGGTGATGATGTCACTGCTCCCCTTATACATGTAGTTTTCAACTTACAACAGTTCATTTAGTGACCATTCAAAGTTACAATAGCACTCAAAAAAGTGACTTATTACCATTTTTCATACTTATGACAGTTGTGGCATCCCATAGTCACGTGATCAAAATTCAGGTGCTTGAGCCTTGAAATTACTAGGTTATGAGATTCAAAGGCCCTGCCAATTCAATAAGGGACACACCCCTTTCCATAGGTGTATCCCTAGTTAAAATATTCCCACTGGTTTCAGTGGGACAATTGGAATTGTTTAAATTGCCAATTCAACTGTATTTACTTCACAAAGTGAAAACAGATTGGAGAGAATAAAGAAAAGAGAAAATGAAACTAGAAAGTGACGTACTCCTTCCTCATCTGTTTCTGAATGCTAGCAAAAATATCCATATACAGATAGTCCTCGACTTATAACAGTTCATTTAGTGACTGCTCGAAGTTATAACAGCACTGAAAAATGTGACTTATGACCGTTTTTCATACTTAACGACATTTGCAGCAACCTCATAGTGACGTAATCAAAATTCAGATGCTTGGCAACTGGTTCATATTTATGACGGTTGCAGTGTCCTGGGGTCATGTGGTCACATTTTGCAAACTTCTGACAAGTAAAGTCAATGGCAAAGCTAGATTCACTTAACAAATGTGTTACTAACTTAACTTCAATGATTCACTTAACAACTGTTACAAGACATGTCATAAAATGGGGCAAAACTAATTTAACAAATGTCTCACTTAGCAACAAAAATTTTGGCCTTAATAAAGGTCATAAATCGAGGATTACCTGTATATCCATGGGCCTTTCTTTTTTGGAATGTGCTTATCAACTAACAGGGACTTATCTTTGTAGGGCCCCCTGAGCCACAAATTAGCCAATTATATCTTAGAATTTTGCACACTCAGCCTGTGCTTCATTTGCAATTGTGGGCATAACATGAACCCTAAATAATGCAATATAGTATAGAATGGAATAGAAATAGAAATAATAGAAATAGAAAAGAATAGAACAGAATAAGAGTTGGAAAGGACCTTAGAAGACTTATTTATTTATTATTTATTGATTAGTTCAATTTATATGCCACCCTCCTCCGAAGACTCAGGGCGGCTTACAATGCACTTATAGCAATAGCCTTCATTCTTTTGTATATACCTGCTTATTAGGGCTTTTGGCCCCCCATAAGCGGTGTTTCTACAAAGTCAGCTTATTCCCCCCACAATCCGGGTCCTCAATTTACCTACCTCAGAAGGATGGAAGGCTGAGTCAACCTTGAGCCTGGTGAAATTTGAACTCGCACTAATTGCAGGCAGCTGGCAGCTAAGTGCTACATAACAGCACTTAGTCCGCTGCACCACCAAGGCTCTTCTCTTCTAGTACAACCCACTGCTGAGGCAGAAAACCCTATACCGTTTCAGACAAATGATTGTCCAGTCTCTTCTTAAAAACTTCCAGTGTTGGAGCATCCACAACTTCTGAAGGATAGTTGCTCCAGTGATTAATTGTTCTGTCAGGAAATTTCTCCTTAGTTCTAGGTTGCTTTTCTCCTTGATTAGTTTCCATCCATTCCTTCTTGTCCTGCCCTCAGATGCTTTGGAGAGTAGCTTGGCTCCCTCTTCTTTGTGGCAGCCTCTGAGATATTGGGACACAGCTATGATGTCTCCCCTAGTCCTTCTTTTCATTAAACTAGATATATTCCAGAAACTGTTCTTTATATGTTTTAGCCTGCAGTCCCCTAACCATTTTTGTTGCTCTTCTCTGCACTCTTTCCAGAGTTTCAACATCTTATTTACAATGTGGCAACCAAAATTGGATGCAGTATTCCAAGTATGGTGTTACAAAGGCATTATAAAGTGGTATTAACACTTAACATGGCTCTTGGCTCTATCCCTGTCAGCTTTGGAAGACATATTAGGCTTCCAAGCTTCCACCTTCTCATGTGTGGGAAAGTAGGAGGGGGGATTTAATTGAGGGTTTGAATTTAAGACAAAACAGCATTCTTCCCATCGGTCAAGGTCAGGACGATCCTGCATCTGGAGAAGGAGTGGTTGGAGTGATGTCTCGAGATGGGACGGATGGTGATTGGAGCACGTGATGGACCGATGAGTGAGGGGATGGTTTGGGGGGTTTTGATTTACTGAGGGAAAACCCGGACTTCTCAGATTCGGGTTTTCCCAAGATGTGCCAGTATACCTACTCTAATAAATGGAAGTTTGAGAAAATGCTTACCTCAGAGTTTTTAATTGGAGCAAAGGTTTTTCTGGAACTCTGACAATCCCTCTGTTAATGCAGCCTAGAACTTTGTTGGCTTTTTTGGCAGCTACAGCACACTGATGGCAGTAAGCTATGGTTCAGTTAATTATGGCTGATTAGGATGCTGTAGAGTCACAACTACTACAAGGCAGGAAGATAAAGTTGCTCTTGAACTCAAAGAATTACCTCTGTGAACACACAGCTTTTATGGAGGCTCCCCAGAGCAGAAATTTATTATGCACATAATAAGCAGTAGAGCTTCAATACTATGGCCCCTTATTTTGTTTGCCCCCACCCCTTCTGCAGATATCTATTCTTCAAACCTCTCTTCATTTTTTTCTGGGAATCCCAACTTCTGTGTCTGCTGCCCTCTTCCCTTCTTGTCCCTGATTGCAGGGAAATATCACTTTTGTTTGCAATCTTGCATTGTTTGTTTGCAAAGAGTTGCTGGAATCCAATGGTGGCCAGTAAGCAGTGGTGGGATTCAGCCAGTTTGCACCACTTCGGGAGAACCAGTTGTTAACTTTCTGAGCAGTTTGGCAAACTGGTTGTTGGAAGAAATCATTAGGGCAGAGAACCGGTTGTTAAATCACTTGAATCCCACCACTGTCGGTAAGTCACCCACCCCCAACCTGGGAACCTGCAAATACAAGGGAAATAATAAGATGAAAGGGATGAATCACTGCTCTTACCTGGCTTCTGTGTGGTAGCCAAATCTCTAGGCAGATTGAGGAGAAAAAGTTGGACCACTCTCCTTGGAAACGTTTTGATCCCAGGAAATTTTCTGTCTTCCTTGGTTCCCACAGCTGTAGCTCTTGGGCATTAGTATCGGGGCACGGTACCCTCTTCTATTTGTGCCAGTTACCTCTCATCTTCCTTCTCTAATGCTACCCATTCCTTTCAGCACTGCTTCTGGCTGTTCCCCCACTTCTCTTATCACTCTGTTTCTCCTCCCACTGTAGTCCTCTTATCTATTCTTCTGTTCTCCACCTCCCCATTTCCCTCCACCTCCCCATTTCCCTCCAATTCCCCCTCTTGTTTGCCTCTGTGTTGTTCAGCTTCCTAGTTCTTAGATATTGAAGTCTTCAACCCCCTGTGATTAATCTTCCTAATCATGTTTTTTCTCTCTCTCCCTCTGTTCTTCTGGCTTTTCCTTTGCCGCTTTAGGGAATGAGAGGAGAGAAAGAATAAAGGAAAGCTATTGAATTTCAGTCCTGAGGTTCTATCACTCCACCTTCCTGGGGGCTTGGCTTGGGGGAGGGTAAACCATACAGAGAAAGGGAGGGAGGTTCACAGGAGAGGTGATGGGCGCCACAATTCCTGACCTTAACTCTGGGAAAGGAGTGGTCTCAAAGCTTTAGAAAAACAGAGAACTAGGAAGTTGACAGAAACATTTTTGACTGGTGAGCTGGAGTGGGTTTGATGTCCCCTTGAGGTTGGGAGAAGAAGCCAGAGCCTCTGGCACCCCCTGGTGGCTAAACCCTTTTAGAAAATGGGCCATCGTTGCAACAAAGGCCATCTACTTCTTAAAATATTTTTGATTCTTAGCTCATCCATGTGTCTGGCAGGGATAGTAGAGTTGTTTTAGATTGTTCCTTCATATTAGGGGTGAGGAAGCGAAACAAAATAGCAGTAGCATTGAGAGCTGTTTGAACAATCCCCCTTTCCTGAGTCAAATATATTTTTCTTGAAATGAAAAATAAGCTCAGACAGTTTTATTTATTAGAATAAGGAATAAGTTGAATCTTTTGTAAAATGATGATAAATTTCCGTACAAATACAGACACTCTAAACTGGGTTTTAACACAAAATACCTCAAACTTCCCCAAAGCAGCAGAAGTTAATTATGGCCAGATCAATATTCTTCCAAGATATGAAAAGCAAACATGCTGTTTATGGAAAGTTCAAAGTATTCTGTGATCCTCTGGGTTCCAGATGTGTTAAGATTATAGCTTCCAATTATTTCTGTGAATCATAGCCCTAATATGAAAGACAAAGAATGACTCTGACCAGTTGTGAGTAAGAGCACAAATTAGGGAAGACGCTGCAGTGATAACAGTGGCAAAATGTAGTTATTTTTTCCACTGTTGTTCCATTTGCAGATAGTCATCTAGTCACTTATATTTCCTGAGGAAGGTTGAAGCACAACATCATTTACAGGACTACTCTGAAGAATATTCCGAGTATTTGGAGATAAGTCTGTTTGGAATTGGACTGGGCAAGTTCTATAACCTTTCTATATTACAGGATCGTCTTCTGCCACCAATTGCCTCCCACCGGCCAGTTCGCTCCCACAGAGAGGGCCTCCTCTGGGTGCCGTCGGCCAGACAATGTCAGCTGGCGACCCCCGGGGGAGATCCTTCTCTGTGGTGGCACCTACCCTCTGAAACAATCTACCCCGAGAGATACGAGTGATCCCAGACCTCAGGACTTTTGTCGGGCCCTTAAAACCTATTTTTTTCAGTTAGCCGGGCTGTCCTGATTTTATGGTGGGTTTTTAAAATTTGAAATTGGTTTTGAATTGAAATGTTTTAAATTATGGGCCAAACTTTATTTAATTATTTTAAATCTATTTTAACTTTGTGTACAAATGTTTTACTTTGGCTGTTCACCGCCCTGAGTTCGAAAGGAGAAGGGCGGTATAGAAATCTGAAAAATAAATAAATAAACCTGATGCAAACCCCCAAAATGCAGTGTGCATGTCCCCCGCACATACCTTGCCTGCTCCCCTGTGCATGCGCATGCCCCTTGCACATGCCCCGACTCCAACCCCAGCACATGCGCAGCAGAGACCTGACGAGCAGCTGGCTGGTGGGAGGCGCGCACGTATGTGTGGCGGAGGTGAACTGGGGGGGCAGCTAGTATGCCCATAGGTTCACCATCACGGACGTATTAGATCCATGCCCATCCTAGTGTTGGAAGAATGTTCATGTGGTTCAATTCCATGCCAGGAGAAAGGCACTGGAGACAAAATGGAGGGTGGAGGCTGATTGGATTGATGAAACAGAACCACCAAGTATGTGTGATTCTGGGTAGCTGACCACATGGAGTTGAGAGTGGGTGGTTTTTATACCTTCTCTTGGGTTTTGCACTTGAACTTCCTGTACCTGTGCAAGAACATGTATTCTATTGGCTGTTGTAGGGGTCATAGCTGGCTCTGTAGGTTGTCTCAGCTAAGTTTGGTTGAAGCCTGGAGGGTGATGCAATGTTCCCAGGAGATTATGCAATGTGGTGAGCTCAGCTGCTAGATGATAGTGGGTTAATCCTGGGGGGTCATGTTTTAACCCCATCATCCCGGAGCTGGAGGTCTTTTGTTTTGTAGATAGCGTGGCCCAATCTTTCTCAATGGGCACAAAATATCTGCTGGGGGCTATTAAGAAAGCCTCGGGGGATGCTTTTTTTCTCCGAGAGCATGTTTCTCTATTTCTCCTTTAGGAAAATATAATATTCTGCCTTTTTAATATTTCTCAAAATATTTCATTCTTCTAGGAAAGGGGTGGGTGCTAACTTCCTACACTAGCAAGTGAAGTCCACTTGGGAGATGATCTGTAGTTGGGTCCTTGTGGTGGTGTCATCATCCTTAAGGGAAGATATAGCTTTGCCTGCCTTGAAATAGCAGTAGTACACTGCTTCTTCAAGAAGCCATTGATGGACTCAACGGTTCTGGAAAAAATCTCTTCCATCTCTCACTTCATTTTTTAGAAGATTTTTGAAAAGGTTATTGGGCTATGGTTTCAGAGACTCCTGGAGGAAATGGGTTGTCAAGACCTTTTTCAGTCAGATTTCAGATTGGGAGATAGTATTGAGACACCATTGTTTGCTCTTGTTGATGACCTCTGGTGCAGCCTGGATGGCGGTCATACAAATGCCCTGGACTTTTTCATATCTTAGCAGCTTTTGATAGCATCTATCATGGTATCCCTCTGGATGGTGTACTTGGATTAGGAATAGAGAGCATAGTAGTGTGATCATTCTCCTTTTACTACGGTTGGTTCCACTCAATGTTAACAAGAAGGTGCAAGGGAAAGATTGAGCCCCTAAAGCAAGATCATCCATCACTTGGAAGTCAGAATTCTGGGAGCTGAAGTCCACAGATCATAAAGGGGCCATAATTGCCCACCCCTGCAATAAACCATGCAAGAACTCCCAAGGACTGCAGAAGGGATCAAGCACAACAAACTAGCAAGCTTCTCAGGGCCTGCAAATGCCTTTTCACTACATCTCCCTAATGAATATTGCATAGCGAAATACGCTGCTTGTCACACTTTCCTGTATGCACTCTAGCTGCTGTGGAATCTCATCTCCTCCATCAGCCAATATCCCGTGATTAAATAAGCACAGTGAGTACTTGCAGAATTGTTTAGCTGAAGTTTCTTTCTTTCTTCTCTATCAACAATAGAGAAGGTATATAACTACAATCATCATAATTAACAAAAATGTAAATAAGCCAATATAAAAAGAAACTTAGTTAAAATTATTTGGTTATATTATTACTACCCTGTTTTCCCCAAAATAAGACATCCCCTGATAATAAGCCCAATCGGGCTTTTGAGCGCATGGCAATAAGTATATCCTGACAATACACTGTATTCAAAAATGTTTATGAATAAAATTATTTTTTTTTTAAAAAATAGTGGTTCTCTGAATTTGAGAAAGTGATAATAGAATGCATGGCTTAGTTCCATATCCTGACATTTATCAGACTTGACTTCGGAACCTACATATTTTGTCCTTGATGTGACTCTTTTAGGAGATAAAGTTTTTATAATCCAATACAATTTATAGGGGGGGTCATAGCTACATTCACACTTTGTACTAAATCATTCTCAGCTTTATCATAGTTTACTGAATATATTTAAATTTAAGTTCCCATAATACAATAAACCAAATCAAACAAACTTTGTGGAGCATTGCAGTACAATTCCCAAAAATTGATAAAGGGATGACTAGAGGCAGAGATTTATTCAAATTATTCCACTGATTATCATTCAAATGCACAAACATTCAACTGCCAGTCTGACCACTGAAGTCTCACTAAGAGGGTTGTCACTCTAGAAAAAGCTGGTCTAATTCCTAGCCCTGATAAATCATGATCCAGAGCAGTATTTCTCAACCTAGCAACTTTAACAGATGTGCAGTATGCTGGCTGGGGAATTCTGGGAGTTTAAATCTGTGCATTTTAAAAGTTTCTGAGGTTGAGAAACACTGATGCCCAGGTGTCTCCAGATTAGGAACGTAAACATCCCCCCAAAAAAGTAAATTAGTATCCGCTTCTAGAACAGTCTATGTAATTGGTGAAATATAGTGTCTTCCATCAACAAATCACATCTTTGTGATCTCTGGCAATACAATCCTGTGCATCTCTTCACAGAATTATTGTTCTACTGACTTCAGTGCCTCTTGCTTCAAGCTAAGCACTTATAGGGTTACAGATTGAGTTCTGCTGTTGAAAAAGCCCATCAAGTTCAACTTCTGATCTGCTAATCCTTTGTTATCCTCATAATCTTGTTTTTGTAAACTCTATCCCATTCTGGTATCTCATTTCGCCCTCATTTTTATCCTCCTATATCACCAAGCAGCAGGACACCTCAACTGGTGTTCCACCTGCTTCACACAGTTATGCACAGTGGTGGATTGCCCCCAGTTCGCACCGGTTCTATAGAACTGGTAGTAAAACCAGTGGGAGGCTCCACCCACTGACCCGGATGTCATAAAAACGCTTCTGCGCATGAGCAGATGCTTCTGCACTTGTGCGCGCGGCCCCGTTGCGAACCGGTAGTAAAGGTAAGTAGAACCCACCCCTGGTTATTCATAAGATTTTTCCATAGTGTCCTCAATTTGTTTTCATTTGCAAAGACAGATATAAATTAGTATCAGATTTAGTCAAATAATTTTTATTTCATTTAATTCAGTTTAGGTACTGCCTGATTCCAGACTGACTTTGGGTGGCTTGCAATATACAGGTAGCCTCCACTTACAACAGTTCATTTAGTGACCCTTCAAGGCTACTACGGCACTGAAAGACTTATTACTGCTTTTCACACTTATGACCATTGCAGCATCCCCTGTGGGTCTTACGATCAAAATTCAGAAGATTGGCAACTGATTTCTATTTATGATGGTTGCAATGTCTGGGGGTCATACGACAAGCAATGTTAATGGGGAAACCAGATTCACGTAACAACTGTGTTAC